ATCAAAAAAGTACTCCAGAGTGTTGTTCAGCATGGGGGTGAGTAGAAAATGAAGGCTAATCATGTTTTGGGTGTACTATTCCTTTAAAATGAACGACTACCTTTGACATCAGGCATTAGTGAAACTAATTCTACTGTAGTAGACAGCTTGGTGATTATTAAAGTCGCAAGTTGTAGCCATGCTATTTTTACTCCCTTGTTCATACTTGTTTCTGCTGCTTTTTGCATACTTGTGCAATTTATAAAGTCCATGTTAAACGCTTATTTGGGAATATAAAAAACAAAAAAGCAAGAGACAGATCTTAAAAATGCAGTAGCTTATTGCATTGTAAAATGTACCAGGCCTTTAGATAAGATTAAAAAGGCCTCGTCTTTCTTCTGCCACAAGTCAGTTAGACAGAAAACTTTGAACTAATCTGACTGGATGATAATTGATTATTCTCTGGTAGGTGCCTTGAGATTACAAGTTGTGTAAGCTGAACTGAAATATCAGAAGAGGAGGAATCCTTTGGGGCCCAACCACACACCCTAAGATGTAGAGGAAAAGAATAGCAGGATACCTTATCAAGCATTAAGATGCCTTCGCCGGTTATGGGATCTTTTTTTATGCTGAAATATCCGGCCTCGTTCCCTTTGACGATTTCATAAACAACAACCCAGTTGTCTGTGTTCTCTTCGTCCAGGTCTTCTGCTTTGAGCCTCATCACCTCAACATTGTGTGTGTTCTCCAAAATGGTTCCCTCATGCTGCGAAGAAGGCACAGAGGGTAAAAGGATGCATTACGGTAATATTCATTCAAACAGGATATTTGTTCATCAAAATTCTTTGACTTGAAGATGTTGCCAAGTTCTACAGCCAATAAAAGCAGTGACATCAACACACAAATGCTGCATGAAGCAACTTACTTCAGATTTTTCTAGAGTTGGAGGATTGTCATTGACATCTTGGATTTTGATAGTGACGGTGCCTGTTGTAATGTGTCCACCTGGCTCACCGTATAGATCTGCAGCAGTCACTGTTAGAATGTATGTATCTTCTTCCTGAAAGGAAAATAGCAGTTAGAGCTAGCCTAACGGAGGCAAGGCCAGTTCCTTTTCTACAGCCCCATTCATGCACATGGAATTCCTGATTTATTTCCACATCAGTCAAAGAAAACTGGAATGTACAATGCTCATTTATCTATAGACTTACTATCATTGGCATTGTTTCAGAGCTAAATGTTGTCTCACCGCTGTTAGTTCTGCTCTGGGGAAAATTGAGTCAGCAGGTCTCAGTAAAACACAATCATCCTGACCCATTATTAATGGGTTTTAGACTTTCAGGTGATGGTAAAGCTATAAATAACGACCCGCTTCATCATCGGCTCTTGTTCTCTACTTTTGAGACCTTCCTTCATCTACTCCACTGTCCAACGTGTGGTTTTTAAACGTACAGTGTGAGCAGGTAGATCCATCAGAGCGTTGGGTCTTACAGTCAAATCAGAGTCAGATCATAAGCTGTTGAACCTTTAATCCCTGCAGTTTCGTCGTAGAGTTTGAGCTTTAGCTATGTACAACGATTGAAAATATTGTACATTAGATTAGATTAGATTAGCTTTATTGATCTCACAGCGGAGAAATTCACCTGTCACATATTGGCATAGAAGTCGAAGAGGGTGCAAAGAAGGAGGAAAAAGGTGCATTAAGAATAAACAAACAATATATATACAGTATATCAAGATAAATAAGGATTAAGGTGCAAGTGTACATGTATTGCACACTGTCATGATTGGTTCTCAAGGAGGACCCCAATTATGCAGAACACCACTGAGGCGGAAACAGGAATAAAGGGTAAACAGAGTTTATTAAGCACAACACAGAGAAAGCACTGAAGACTGGTTCGGGCCTGGGTCCTGGTTTCTCTGGAGTCTGCGTGAGAGACTGAGCTGTATGAACTGCTGGCAGGGTTTGGTTTTCAAGTGAGCTTAGATAGTACCTTGAGGGTTCCTGAGTAATTCTCCTTGGGGGAGTTTCTGTTGGTTCTGGAGAGGAGTTATCAGCAGAGTCCTTAGCTGCTTCAGCGTCTCACGTCTAGCTTGGTCAGACCTTGGTTTGGTTCCTCCAGCTCTAGTCCTGAGCTGCTTGGGACTTCTCAGAACGTCTTCAG